CTATCTGACCATGTGCGTCATGTTTTTTATCAAATAAACAATCGATTGAGAGATTTTCAGCTGTCATGAAACTCTTTCATCGCGATTATTTTTTTACACATTCAAAGGTGCGTGGGCGTAGCTTGTCCCGCTACCTCACTTGCTGACTCGAGTATAGTTATATACATCACAAATACAAGCTTATATTACATTTTCAGCTTTCATGAAACTCTTGCACTTTTTTGGCGCTGGCTCTCCGACTAATTGGTGGCTAACGGTTGGAACCGTACGTCGGGTAAATCGAGTTTGGGCTAATTACATAACTCTTCCCCCCTTAAAACGGAGCGAAGGGCAGCGACGGTTGGCTTTGGTCCTATGAACAGGCGGTGGATTCGCTTGCGTTTGATAACTACAAATAATAGTAAGGTTAAGAACAGAAGACCGCAGACTGACTGCACGGTCCAGGAGACTACTTCGGGCAGAGTGATTCTTTACAGCCTTTAGATGAGTGCCCCCGGGTATGCGGATTTCCTCGAAGTGAATTTGGAATGACGGCGGTAGTTCTGGCAGGGCGGCTTACGAAAGCTGATACGGCAACGGGTCAACACTGCAGTTGCGGTTTACAATGTACATGTTACATTTCCATGAAGTAGGACATCCAATGGTCGCGGGATCTCTGTTTGTAATGACAACAAAGTTCTGCGTAATCTTGTAGTAGTCCATTGTATGAAGTAGTTTGACGCGCAGACAACTTTTTATTTGTTGATCGAAACTGCAATTGCTTGGTCTAGGATTACTGCAAATATACAATCGTCACAAAAAGTATCGCATAAATAGATTGTGACTAGAAGTTTTATTATTATCTCCTAATTTTTTTTTGTAAATGGCAGGTAATGAAACTCAAGAATGTTTGACAGTGTTTTATTTAATTAAAATTAATAATCTAAGAATAACAGGGAAAAATTTCGAAAATAACAAGTATTCAAGAAAAATTAAAGAATCCAAATTAACAAAATAAGAAATTCCAAGGAAAGTTTTAGCAATTTAGTATCTGGTATTGCCACCTCTGGCTCTAATAACATCTCTCATTCTCCGTGGAAGGCTTCTTATCAGAGCCCTTACATACTCCAAATCTAAATTTTCCCATTCTTCTCTCAAAGCATTTTCATCAAGGTTGTCTGGTGCAATATTACGAGCTCTTATGCGCCTTTCTAGAAAATCCCAAACATGTTCAATTGGGTTTAGATCTGGACTAACTGCTGGCCAATCTAAAACTTGAATACCAACATCTTCAATGTATTGCATTGTGATTCTGGCAACGTGCGGACGAGCGTTGTCTTGCATAAGAACAAAATTGTTCCCAATAATTCGAACAAACGGCACTACATTTTCTTGAAGAACTTCCCGTATATACCGATCAGCTGTTAGAGATCCCCTACGAAACACTGTTAACTCTGTGTGACCTTCAAAGCAGATGCCTCCCCATATCATAATCGAGCCACCTCCAAAATTTCTGGCTGCTCTTATGTTACACTGAGAAAATCGCTCACCTGCGCGTCTATAAACTGGAATACGTCTATCAGATCCGAAAAGTGCATATCTCGACTCATCCGTAAAAAGAACATCAGCCCAGTCGTTAATATCCCAATTAACATGTTCTCTTGCGAATCTTAAACGAGCTACACGGTGTGCCCTGGTTAACAATGGAGCAGTAACAGGCATTCTAGCTCTAATTCCAAATTCTCTCAATCTGTTTCTAACCGAATTAACCGATATTCGAACATTACGGACCCTGGAGAGAACATTTTGCAGTTGCCTGGCTGTAACATGACGGGCCCGCAAGGTTTGCAGACATAAATACCGGTCATCTACAGGGTTAGTGCACCTGGGACGTCCTTCTATTGTAACCTCCAGTTTCTCTAAACCTTCTTAAAATTCTTGAAACGCTGGATTGGTTGATCCCCATAGTTTCAGCAACATATTGCTGCGATCGTCCATCTTCAATTAAGGCCACGATTTGGGCTGCTTGTTCTGGTATTAAATTACCCATATTTTAGTCAAAATACCCGAATACACCTCCTTTATGAAAAAGCAAAGAAATACTGCACACAGGAAATTTTAAAACGCAAATGATAATAAAAATAAAATTTATCTCTTATTCCTTTTTGTTTAATTTTTTTCTACGACAAAAAAATACGATTCAATTTTGGTGTATTATGGGTTTTTACACACCTAAAGGAGTTCATACACGTTCATTAAAATGTACTGCTAAAAATTGATATTTAATTTAAATTTTTTTTCCAGTTTCAAAATTATGCGATACTTTTTGTGACAAGTGTATTTTGTTTCCTTGTGCAAGATGCACTTATCATACCAAACTTTATTAGAGCAAAATTCAGTAGGATTAAGTAGCATTGTATCATCCGCTCTTGGAAGTGGGAAGATCTGATAGAGTGATTGAACTTGTGGCTTTAAGATTGGTATCTTTAATATAAGTCGAAGGACCGAATTATTCCTGTATGTAATTAGGGTTGATTGTTCTAATAGCTCATAAGGATGCTTTATAGTAGTTGGTCCTCATGATGTCTCTAACAATTTAGTCTCTATAAGAGTGATTTCCAGTATCTCGAAAAATTCAATATTGACCAAATTTAGACGAGAAAGGCTAATTGTGAGAGTGATCTTTCGTAAGAACTCTGCTAACAAAGCTATGTGATCGATGTACAGTCGCGGCCATTGGAATTGGCACAAACTTTAAAAACGCACCTCGTATTGCATCAAAATCTGACAAAAACTGTAACCAACATAAGTGGTCAGTGGCGTGTGTAATGTTATGTCCACCAAGTTCAATTTTGGACCCCAACTAAAAAATAAAAAAACCTTTTGTATCTAGCCTATTTAGTAAAAACTAACTCCTTACAAAAAATGTTAATATTTGGAAGCACCTCCATTTTTATTAACTACTGCTTGCAATCTTCGTTGCATTGAGTAAATTGAATTATGAAAATTGTACTAATTGTCTGTTAATAATGTTAAAGCATCTTGTTTCGAAGCAAGTCCAAATTCTGTATTGTAAATTTTTTTTATAAGGTAGGCCCAAACATTTTCGCTTTTAACATGATCTTACATGCTGGAACGTAAAATTATATCCAAAGCGTTCATTAGTGGATGGAGCATTATTACATCTCTTAATTATGTATTTCTCGCTAGTCAGACGTGCATCAATAAAATAGATCTGCCCTGGACCTTCAGCACTTATACAGGCCCATTCATGGACAGAAAATCATCCGCTAGACTGATTAAATTGGATGTAGGCCTCATACTCATACCTGGTTCGTCGTGGCCTAATAATGTACTATTGCATGACTGAAAAACTTTTTCGTCAGAGAAAACTATATTGCTTCAGAAATGTTCAGGTTCTTGAGAAAATAACTGGGCAAACTGTAATCGGCACTGTCTATCTCTTTGCACTGAAAATGGTTTACGAGCCGCTGAATGACATTTAAATCCAGTTTCCTTAATAGGCCTTCGCGCCCTTCGCGCAGTTCTAGCTGGAGCTGGGAAACTACTCAATTCTTTGCTCTAATTTCCTAAATAAATGGATATGAAACGACCTCATCAAGAAGAGATTGATCCTCTTGTCGGATTGTTTTTCTTGATCGTCTTCGTCGTTGTAGGTTCGTGATAGAAGCAGTTTCAACCCTTTTTTTCTTCAAATTCATAATTATACTACTTCCACAGTCAAGGGTTAAGACGACTGCACATATAGTTTTCCCTTGTGAAATCATTAGAATTGCTTTGGGTTTTTCATCGTTAATTAACATATGGTACTTTTTTTTTCAATTTTTTTTTAAAACTTAAAAAAACTGTTCTAGTTCGCCACTGACTTATCACTTTGACACAGTTTTGGCATTACCGGCTTGTTAAAAACGTCAGATTTTGATGCAATACGAGGTGCGTTTTTAAAGTGTGTGCCAATTAGGCAATCTCAATCACGTGATTTTCTAATGGCCGTTCGGGTCAAATATTGCGGTGACAAGCCGGTGACGTTTGACGTTCATAAGGAGAGCATTTGTGTTCTGGCTCTTGCTGCTTTCGAAGTGAATTTTATGTGTTTCTGCGTATTTTTCATTGGTTTTGGTCATTGTTGTTTTCATAGTGAATTGTGAATTTTATAGTCTTTAGTATTTCTACGTATTTTTTAGTGTTCTGGCCCTTGTTGTTTTCAAAGTGAATTTTATAGTGTTTCTACTGTTTCCACGTATTTTTTAATTTATTAATAAATTCTGAGATGGAGAGTGAATATCTTAAGGTATCATTATTAAGGGAAAATCGAGCTTTCAGTTGCAGCAATCCATAAAGCCCTGCGTTGTTTTGATAATTCATATTTTTAGATCAAAAGCCAATGATTTAAAATAGCAGGAACTGAATAAAATTTCACATTATCCCTGTTACCTCGACTTCCACACCCATTTACGATGCAAATCGCTGGCATTTTAATTAACACAATACCTAAACACACAAAAAAACACAAAATCCGATAATTCAAATCTGGACGTTTGTCCAGAATGTGACAGAATCAATGACATTCAGAATAAACAACACAGTGCTTGACCTAATGCTTGACCCGAACTTCCATATTGAATTTCGTTTTTGACAGGTCAGTAGATTGCCTAATTCCAATGGCCGCGACTGTACAAGTTAGCAGAAATTAGATCATCAATCTTTTGGTTTATTTTATTTAGGGCTGACTTTGCAAGAATCAAGTCATTGTTTATTTGGGCGGTAAAAGATAAAAGTCTGTCGTTTATGTTATTTGCGACATGAATGAATTTATTTTGTGTTGTTATAATGAAATTCTGATTCTCCTTAATGTTAGCAAAATGACTTTTAATGATATCTAAATCATCATTATCTGGGATACCGGTAATAAATTTGATGACTGAACCTAATCCGTTAATTAGTCCACGTTTACGTCGGTTATTTTGACGTTGGGCTAGCATTGCATATTGATTTCTCACTTGTTTTAGATGTCGGTCATACAAGGGCGGTAAAAGTGGGTAAATGTGTGTCTGATTTCGAATAGGGAGTTCGTGTATTATTTCTTGAAAGGGTTGCAGGTCGACTGCAATAAGAAATCTATGATGATGTGAGATTTCTCTCTGAGTTCCAATCTCTTCGGAATAGTAGCCGTTATGGTCATCTGTTGAACATTGCGCCCTTTGTGAATGGGTAGAAGTGGTTAGGGCATGCACTGCCAATCTGCAACAAGGGAATTATTTAGTTTTTCCTAAACGTTTAAGGGACTTAACATTCATTTTAAGAGGTTTTTGTCTTGAATCCTTAGCTTGAATGGTATTTCCGGTTTGATGATTAACAATAATAGGTTTGTTAAGGGATGATTTGTTATATTTTGCTTTAAAGCTGGAATATTCTCGAGAATTTTCTTGTATGTCAGGAGTAGAGTCTTGTCTATTTTTATTTGTCTTCGAGAAGATGTGTTTCTATGTACATGATCAAGAAAGGGTTGCATTTGCATTTTTCTTTGTCGAACGTAATAATCATATACAGGGAAATCCTCATCAAAAGCGGGTGTTGTAGCGTAAGGTCCATATAGTATATTGAAAGGGGTGTGACCACTAGAAGCATGAATAATTTGATTGTATATTGTCACTGCGGTGATAACTAAATTGTCTACGGCTTCTTTTGGGGATATTTGTATAAGTATTTTTAACTTTTCTGTAAGTGTGGAATGAAACCGCTCTATAGGAGAGTTGGAGCTTGAGTTTTTCCTATAGCAATAGTGTGGTGTTCTATTCCATGTAATTTCAAGTATTCTCTGAACATAACGGATACGAAGGCCGGCTCATTGTCTGTAACTATCTTTTTCGAAAAGTTATGATGAGCAAAGAAGTGTCTCATTTTGTTTAGAATCGACGCGGCGCCCCTGTACTGTATCATTTTCGTTTTGTGTATGTCCCTTTATAAGAAACTTATGGCTTATCTTTTTAATTTTATAGTTCGAAACAGCATAAAGATAGGCAGTTGCCAAAAATTTATTCTTCTGCTGTCCACAACAGTAATCCGAATAAAAAACTATTTCAAGATTTTCATTATTTTCTCGTTCAGCTAAAGATTGAAGATATTCAAGCACACATGAACCAATTTCCACTGCTCCCCTATTGCCGTCTGTTTCACTCCAGAAAAAACATTCCACATTAGCATACCGACTGTTCAATTTCCCAACTTCTGGGTCTTCTTTAGCTAGTTCAGATATTGTGAAGTTATATGAATTTAGTTTTGACTTGTAATAAAAGGAAGAAATTTCTCCTCTAGGAGCTTGCATTACCGCTTGTAAATCATAAATTATCACTTTTTTGTTTTCTCCTATTTCAGTTTTATCTTTCTTTTGTTCTTCTCGACTCAGCTGTTTTTCTTCGAGGTGTAAGTCGTAAGTTTCCTTTATCTGATCTTTATAGTGACCATTTGCATTTTCATACGATAAACAAAGTTCACATTGATCTTTTTTCGGTTGAAAAAAACCTATGTTGAATTTCGTGTTAAATATACTTAAGTAGTATGAATAGGAACCAAAACTTTTGTTCTCATTAATTTGGTCTTGCTTAAAATCTCGGTACAAATCAGATATAGTCTTGCTGCCATCTATATATTCTCTTTCAGTTTGTTCTCCTAAATAATGTGATTCAATTATGGGAATTGTATTTATATGCCTTATAATTCTTTGAGTTAGATCATCGTCTATTTTTGGATGTTTTCCGTGTTTTCCACGTAGTTCACCTTCAACAAAGCCATTTTGATCCTTCTTGGAAATTACAGTTCTTATAGGCCGATCGTTTATATCTAATGTTGCCTTTAAAAATAATTTACACACTCTCATTTCCGTGCCGTCAATAACAAAATAAAATGCATGATTTTTATGTCAACTTTGGTCTGCATCAACGGGATATCGATATTTGGAATTTATTTCTTTGCAACATGATGCAAGAAAGTCCCTTTGTCTGGAAACATCTCCAAGATTCCAATAAGCTTGAAAGATTTCCTGGCGCTTGGTATCGTCTATTTTGGAAGAGCATCCTAATCGGCATTTTTCACCACATGGATTTCTAAGTCGGCGTTCCGGTATATATTTTTTTAGTTTTTGACATAGAGGTATAGGCTTTTCCAGTATTTCTTAGCCTTTTAGCCGTAGCTTGACACCATTCTTTGGGTTTTCAAAGTCGCTTTCTTGTTTTTGCATTAGGTTCTTCAGGTTCTTGTTCCTCTTCCGAAGAATGTCTGATGATAGATGGCGCAATTTTATGTCGTTTTATTGCAAAATGTTAAAATTGCAGAATTTTGATTTGTGACACTTTAGTTCTCAAGGTGCGATTCAGCAAATATAATTGTGTATTAGAACACATAGCAAAAGTTTGGTTTAAACTGAATTACTTCATCAACCCCTAATATAAATGTTGAAAGAGTGTCAGGTTGTTGGGGGTCGAAGGATGGAATAGTTTGAACAAATGAGTCCCATTCTTTGTTGGTAATGGTAGGTGTGGTTGGGGGGGACATGTCTATCGAGTGTGAGGAATCAATAGGTTGTAACAAATTAGCGTTACTTGAACTAGCTGGTAATTGAGATATTACCGGAGTAGATTCAATCCTTTCAGCTGTAGGAATTGAAGGGCGAATTCTATTTCCGCTATCGTTGAGAGGAATCAGAAAAGATGGATTGATGTCAATGAGTGATATGGCGTTAATAAAGTCGTCTACAGGGTCTGACATAAAATTGATTTAAGAATGAAATTTGATAAAATTCGGGGAATATACGAAAATAAGTCAAATAATCACAATCAGATTTCACAGTTCCAGAAAGCAGATATACTTACAACATCAGGATAAAACACATTGCACAATCACTATTTTTCTCAGCAGTACAGATTCGTGTCGATAGTTAGTTAATTATTTAAAAATAAAAGTTACTGATTGATACAGAACTCTAACTATTCTGCTCGCAGCGCCAATTAAATAATTTACTCGAAGAAAGGAAATTTAAAACTTTTATTACAAATGTACTTATTACAATGAGCGTTAGAAATAGAATTCATTTTTAGTTACATCCTCTCACTATTTATTGATTTATTAATTCACGCCGACTGTGTTTGGCTAACGTCGGATTGAGGGTCCACGGTGGGTGGATTGGTGGCTAACGGTTGGAACCGTACGTCGGGTAAATCGACTGGGCTGATTACATAACTCCGTGCCATTAGAAAATTTAGCGCAAAAAACTGATGTATTTCCTGTGCGTCGGTGTCCTTCCATTGATTCAATCGAGAATGAGGCCGAAGACGATCTTCATGTTCAGCAACATTGTTATAAAACTTATTAGTTTCGCTAGCTATAAAACTGGTTATTTGTTCTCCGAAAAAAACTTTGAAACAATCGTACTCGGAACAGTTATCAAAAAGATCTGGAATATTGTGTCCAGAATTACTAGAGTCAAAAGGAAATACATGCGGCACAATGTTCACTTCTTCCCAACTCACGTTGTCGTTTATTGTACGAACAGGTTCGTTTTTTTCCTCGGGCTTTTCTTCTGCATCTTCCTCAGTGAGATGTGGAGGTAAATTTGAGGACAGCTGTTGCAGAACTTGAGCTTCAATTCGTCAGTCCCGCCCATAAACTCATCCTCTGAGTCACTTTGTGTGAGGATTTCCTCCAATTCGCCAGTAGTATAAAATGCCCCCTCTTTTAGGCGACGTAGGCAAATTTGACATTATTATTGCTGAAAAAAAAATAGGTATTATCAATACTATTTGATTATTATCCAACCAAAATAATTACCTTTTATTTCATACATTTCACTTGATATAATTTTTTACATGCAGTAGCACATATCTGTGAGCTTCAGATTCACTAAACGTCCTCCCTTCCTTAGCCAACAGCAGCCGACGACGCGGCAACAAGCCTAATCACGTTGAGAAAAGTGGGGGAATAACGGATTTTATTTTTTCGAAAATATCCGACTACAGCAGCGAAGCGGAAAGACGTTTCACAAAAATGCGTCATCCGCATAAAAAAGAAAACGCCTATATGCGCTATCCGCAGCGAAAGGGTTAACAGTACATATGAAAAAAATAAAGCGGTTCATACCTGATTATGTTGACACATATTCCTTATTTTTTCCATGGAAATATTCTGTCGGCTGGACTGGAATTGAATTCATTGAAATAACTCAGCAAGAACGTTTCAAATCTTCAGTCGCATGTTGTAGGATACGATACGAACGCGGGCGAGTTTCATATATAACATGCGAGTGGGCACACCTGTGACTGACATAAATTGTTCGTTATCCACAAGATGAAAAAATCGAGAAAAAAATTGCCTAATAAAATGTTTACAAAACTTACTGAAATGTACTCAACGGTTCAACAGTTATTGGTAAATCTGCTATTCTGACATGAATTTTCTTAAAAACTCTATCGTATCTGGGAAATATAGAACAAACAACTTTTTCAGCGAATTCAACAAATATTTCAAACATTTGTAATAGAGCTTTTACTAGAAAATGGGTTAGTACTAAAACTTCTTCGTCGCTTAAAATGGGAAACTCTGAAGATAAAAATATATTGAAAAATAAGGAAAGAAAACCAGAAGTAAAAGGAACAAAACCTAAAGTAAGACATACTAAAAATCAGAACTCCGCATTGCAAACACCGAAAGGAAGAACAACTAGATCAGGTTCAACCAGCAGCAACAACGGTAATTATCAGCAGCAACAAAAGAAACTTGTAAAACAAAAAAAATAAAATTCCTATGTTTTTGTTGCTAACTTTAAAATTATTGTGATCTAGAAGCCGCTTTACCTCTCTGTACCCCTCTCTCTCCGTCCCTTACCTACACTCCTTGTCGATTTATTTTCGCTTAGTTTTATTTTCTAGTTGATAATAATAATCTCTGTACTCTGGTTAATTTTTCTTTTATTCTGTTTTAATTTGTTGCTATTATATTTGAGGCCTCAACAGCATTTGTGAGATCATGCGTGACCTCGCAAAATAGGCTGAAATATGGGCCGTTTAAACTCATTTAGTCGTGTAAGTAAGCTGATGTAAAATGTTATTTGTATTTACTTTTTGAGTTAATAAACGTCTTATTATGATTATTATTATTATTATATATTTTTTAAATTGTGTTAGTGTATTATTGTCGTTTTACATTTTTTATATTATTTTATATTTTAATCATTTGTTACTGTGGTGTTATAACCTTCTCGTGCACGTTTGCTACATTTTATTGAATTTTGGGTGACATCCGAACATTGAGCATATTTTCATTTATTAATCAAGTTTTAAATAATTTAGGGAAAAATGGATATTCTCCATATAGGCGATACCATTGAAAAAGAATTAAAGGTTGAAATGGTAATATGCGAGAACATCGGTCAGTTTTATAACACAACAAAAAACATAAGAAATTTTACAGTCCTTACACAAAATATTACTAGCATAAACAAAAATTTTGACACCTTTTTAGTTCAACTACAAATGTCAAATTATGCTTTTGATGTAATTGTATTCACTGAAACTTGGAAAGTAGATTTTGTGGAATACTATAAGATAAGAGACTATGATATCTTCTACAACAATGGTTCTTTTAATCAGAATGACGGGACAGTCAGTTGTCCTTGTCAAATCCAAATGGCAGGCGGACGTCAAGGAGCAGAAAATTGCGGGATTAAACGTCCTAATATTTAACATTAAATATGCAAGCTATACAATATCTCTAAACTGCCTATACCGTCCGCCTAGCCAGGATTTGGATACCTTTTTATTGAATCTTCCAGAGTTTTTACGATTTACACAAACTTCTAATCTAGGTATCTTCATAGGGGACATAAATATTGACTTACTGAAAACTGACACAAAAGGAAAAATTGAAGACTACCTAAATATCATTCACGAATGCGGATTCATTTCGCTTATTAATCAATACACACGTGAACGTAATACACAAAAAAGTTGCTTAGACCACATTCTCATTGATAAATCACAAAATTTATGCAATTTTTGTACATACATAATAAAAACTCAAATAACCGATCACCATGCTGTAGCACTGTCTATTCCTTTGAATGCTCCGAGAAAATCAAATGAATCAAATTTATCTGGCCAGAATACGAACTATGATCAACTAAAAAACTTGCTTGCCGCTGAACCTTGGACAAAAGTAACGCTTGAATCGAACCCTGACATAAGTATGGGCATTTTTATAAAATCCCTCGAAACACATATAAGAAGTTCTAGTACAGTTACCAGAAAACAGGAAAACTATAAAAAGAACACCATGGATTACCAAAGCCCTTACAAAATCAATAAATACACGTGATGAACTTTTTAGGCGCGTTAAACAAGATCCAAATAATGAGGTATTAAAAATTCAATATAGAAACTATAGGAAGAAGATTCATTCTCTGATTCAAAAAGCAAAAAATAATTATTATCTATCCGCTTTTGAAGAAAATAAAGGAAATCCACGGAAGTTTTGGGGGACGGTTGCATGAATATGCAGTCTTCAGGCCATGAAATCGGACGGATGAGGAACGATGCAGGACAAATACTCAACAGTGACTCGGAGAAAGCGGAACAATTCAACGACTTTTTTGCAAACGTGGGAGAAAACTTAGCCAATCAAATAACCGTTCCAAATCAAAATAGCTACTTAAAGCACCTTAGCTTTAAATACAGAATAAAAAAATCTTTTTTCCTTTCTCCGGTCACAGAAGCAGAAGTACTCACAATACTTCTAGCACTAAATAATAACAAGGCACCGGGCCTTGACGGAATAACACCATACCTTGTAAAGCAGATTGCTCCCTACATCACGAAGCCCTTACTGCATATATTTAATTTATGTTTCGTAACAGGGGTGTGTCCCAGTCAATAATAAAATGTGAACAAAACTTACTGAAATGTACTCAAAGGTTCAACAGTTATTGGAAAAGCTTCTATTCTGACATAAATTTTCTTGGAAACTGTTGTTGTGTTCGCCGAAATTAAATAACTCTTACTCAGTTGGGACGTTTTTGAATACTTTTATTATGTACAGAATAACTAGCTGGTACAAAATCTAGTATAACCATGAATTTCTTTTCATGGGAGTTTAAGCTCCTTAAATATAAATTTCTATCTTAATGAATTATTATCTAAACCTAATGATCTATTCCTAAGTTGAAAATTTAATGAGCTTGTTTTTATTTACTCTTAATAATTGAGGAATAATTTGAGTATTGGCTCAGATAAATATAATAGGAATATAATTTCGAGTATACAAATAACTCCTATCTGAAGTTAGGAAGAAATATGATTAGCGTAATTAACTAGATGACTTAATAATTATTGTCATGAGGTTTTGTTACGAAAATATAGTTGATATTGAAAAACCATAATTATACTGAAGAATTTGGGGTTGTTAGGTATAAGTTGATTATTCCATATGAATGATTAGCATATATGCCGTATCTGGCAAACATCAACGAACAACTTTTTCAGCGAGTTCAATAAATATTTAAAATATTCGTGATAGTGCTTCTACTAGAAAATCGGTTACTGAAACTTCTTCGTAGCTTAAAATGGGAAACTCAACTGTGAAACTCGACTAAAAACAATATACTTATTAAGAGATCATATAAAAAAATAAATGAAGCAGTTCATACCTGATTATGTTGACACATACTCCTTATTTTTTCCATGACCTTCTGTCGGCTAGAATTGAATTCATTGAAATAACTCAGCAAGAACGTTTCAAATCTTTGAGAAATAATAGTTTTTGGAATTGTGTTTTGTCCTGAAAAAGGGTTTAAATCGGGCATTGGGCTAATGTTACCAAAGGAAAAATATTTATTATTGATAACCATTATGGAACAAAATAGTATATTATGTGATGATAGCCAACGGTTCAACAGTTATTGGTTAATCTGCTATTCTGACATGAATTTTCTTAAAAACTTTGTCGTATCTGACAAACATGGAACGAACAACTTTTTCAGCGACTTCATTAAATATTTCAAATATTCGTGATGGAGCTTTTACTAGAAAATCGGTTACTGAAACTTCTTCGTCGCTTAAAATAGGAAACTCAACTGTGAAACTCGACTAAAAACAATATACTTATTAACAGATCAATAAAAAAATAAATGGAGTGGTTCATACCTGATTATGTTGACACATACTCCTCTTTTTTTCCACGACCTTTTGTCGGCTGGAATTGAATTCATTGAAATAACTCAGCAAGAACGTTCAAATCTTTGAGAAATAATAGCATCACAACCTGTTTTATCGTAACTGGGGATTTGAGATCTAGTCCGGAATGAAAACCAAATTTGAAATAACATTGCCTATTTATTACATACTTACAAAATAATGGGTAAATAAGGAAAAGTTTTACGAATAATTTTGATAGTTTAAACGCTATGACTAGAGTCCCGTCTCGGGATCCACATCCAGTCGCGAATAACATCAATAAATGACGTTATTTATATTTTTATCGGGACTGGATATAGGTCCCGAATCAGGACCCGCATATGGTCCCTAAATCCCTAAAGAAGAATCACAATAATCTGTAATTCCTTCATTAGGTAAAACCATATCATTCAATTCGAATAAATAAGACAATGTTATATTTCCAAAGCGTGAATTTTATAGCAAAAACACTTGTTTACAGAAAATAAAGTAGTTTACATTACATATTGATTTGATGACACATCAGTATAAACGCTAAACTTTTTTGCCAATTTCCAACCTTTATATTCAAGACAAATAGTGATAGCTCGAGGCTCAGAAATTAAAGGCATGCTTACGAATACATTTCTGGTTTTTCTACCTAAACTTATTCTCACTACTATTTAACGTTCATAAACAAATGCCTACCTTTTACATAAAAGCACGTATCATCGTCACCAAAAGTAACTGGGACAGCAACATATTAGCTCTTGTACTATTATATGACTTTTAGTGTCAAATATTTGTCAAACTATATGAATAAAGTCTAGTTCTCATAACTGCGAATTGCGGATTGCGTTTTTTTTTTTCACCAAAATTTCGCAAAAAAATAAACTACAAATTTTTCTCAATCCTTATTACTGCGAAATTTGTTGAAAATAATGATAATTGACAGTGTTATTATTTGTGATTTTTGTCAATAATTGACGTATTTTATTCAATCGACAAGTTGTTTATTGTTGTTTTATATAAATAATTCATCGATTATTAACAATTTAAATGTTTTTAAATAAAAAACAGAAAAAGATATCGATGGGTAGCCTGCAATATCTCTTAACCAACATGCGCTTAACTTTTCAGGAGGAAGGAAAAACCTCTCATATTTTTGTTATTCATGAGTTCTACATAATTTCCTGACCTCTGCGGTGAAAAAAAAAACATTTTTTTCGAAAAAATAATTTGTTGGAGGCAAGAATTTTGTTGTTCTCGTTATATGTTAGTTAGGAACTATTGCTAGAACATTTAAATGCAGTTAGGATAAAATGATGCCAGGATCAATAATGACACGACTGTGCAAAATAACGAAATTTTTATTATCTGTTAATCAAAAACATACCAAAAATAGTTATGAAACATGGCATGATACTGAATTAGGGTTCAATGAGGCAGGTTATCATAAAAATAATGGACATCTCTGGGTAAGACTGTTTTAAGTTCTTGAAGGTGTTTCCACTTATTATCCGGTATCTTGCATCACTGATTAAGCATCCGTGGATATTTCTCTATTATGGGGATTTCTTTTGGTCTAGCAGGTAACTCTTGCGATTCAGTATCATAATTGATTTTGACTTCAATTTTGCAATTTTCGTACTTGAGGGCTTTTATATCCGTTACAGTACAGTAGGGTCGTCTTTCAGTCTTCCAGGGCGTATGGAAGAGTATCTAAGATGTTCGTTGGAAGCAAAATTTAAGAAAAATGAAAAATCCAAATCGATAGCTTCATAGGGCCTGGGATTCTGCCGTGCTTCCCTAGTGACGGATAAGTAGTCACTTGGCAAATGAATTTCACGATTTTTCAGTTTTCGTTCAATATTAGCGTGTACTGAATCACATTCCATGTACGTATGCCCTGACTCAAGATATTTTTGATAGTCACGTTATGTTTCATTGAAAAATTTAAAATTGCATTAGACATGATACTGTTGCGATTTTGCTACGTGCAACCATCAGAATAGATGACGATGGGGAGATTATCTGCAAGACATTTTTTTTCTAAGTAATCCAGCAGACACGATACAAAAGTGGAAGCTTTTAACTGGCTATTTTGGTCTTCTGAGAACCAATAGCAAGTTGCATCATGTGTTTTTAAATCATAAACGGTGAAATTATGCACGCATTATTTTGTTTTGTAATAAAAAGCCCCAGCTTTCAGGTATGGTGCTAACTTCACAGCTTGTAAATTCACACATAAGGTGATACACTCACCATTCAATGATTTACTTTTGTCGTCTTGCTTTTCCTGACGTGCTCGATCATTTCTGTTTCTATGTTCATTATAGCTTTCCTCAGAAATATTTCCTGTCTTATGTGCGCAACAAATATTGCATTGGTCTTTCTTGAGTTGATAAATGGATAAATTTTTCTCTTGAATCTTCTATACAAATACTTTTTGGTAAGAGGGTTTAAATTTTTGTTTGAGCAGTATTCTTTATAAAGCTTATAGACACTCACCAACGTCTTAAAAATGGGCTCCAAGAAGAGTTTTGAACAATCTTTTCGAGAGTAATGAGATGGAAGTTTGGGCAATTCATCCAAGAACCTATCGATAGTTTCAATATTAGAATGTTTGCGATCTAACAATGCTTGCTTAATGGTTATCTTTCTTTCCCGATCCTGGTGCATGCCATCGCTGCTATTGTTCACCCATTCTTGGACAGTCTTGTATCCCAAATCAAACGTATTCAAGAACATCCTTCTGCATGTCTGAATTTTGGTATTGTTTACATTTAAATAATAAACAAACGTCCCTTGTCGCCTTGGATTATCGGAGGTCTTTCTTTTGACAGGCACTTTTTCAACATGTGCGGATACGTAAACTTTTCTCTGATCCCATGACATCTCTTTCCAAAAATACTCAAACAATTTCTTTCTTTGACTCTCTGTAACATTTGAACAGTTTCTCAGCTTAGACTTTTTACAAAAGTCTGAATTGCAGGCTGGTTTTAAATGTCGTGCAGTTCGCATGGTGTCTTGTTTCATTTTTTGATTTTGATTTTTGGAAAAACCCAAATAATTTTCTCCGCGCATTCTTTTTTTCCTATTTTTTTTTCACGAATCCAAGATTCTTTATCCGCTACCCTTTTCCTCTTTCTGGAATTTTCCAAGTTGTCCAAATTGGGGTCAATATTTTCGTTTCCTCGACTGCTAGAGTCTTCACTGCTTGATTCATTGTTGCTATCTGATGGATTGTACTCATTGGAACTGTCACTATTGTTGTGCAACTCATGAATCTGTTCCACTGTTGCAAGGTCGAACATTTCTCTATTGAACAACTCATCATCACTGATGGGGATGCCTAAGTCAAACTCGACTGGTATACCTGTGACTTCTGTTTGGGCACTTATTGACGATTGAGGAATGTTTTCATCTAAAAAAAAAATTAAGTTACCAACTACTAGATAATACACTTATAAGCCCACCAGGATCTATGACCACGATAATATTATTACTAATATTATTGTTTTCCAAAATGTTGAGGTTCTCATCAGAAATGTCGTCGTCGTCTAAAAAAAATAGGTCACGACCTACTACTAGAGAACATTAGAATTATAGATAACTCACTAATATTATTGCTTTCCACAATGATGATGTTTTCATCAGGAATGTTTTCGTCTAAAAAAAATATGTCATGACCTATTAGAGAACATTAGAATTGTAAATTATAAACTTACTAATATTATTGCTTTCCAGAAGGTTGATGTTCTCATCAAGAGTGTTCTCATCTGAAGAGAAAAATATTTTCTGCCACTACATACTTGAGATATTGGAATTAAACTTACCATAATCTATTGCCACAATATTACCAATATTATTGGTGTCCGAAATGTTAACTCCAACAAAATCCATTGGCATATCTTCTAAATATTTCTCTTGAGCCATTTTCAAGATTTTCATAGTACGATTCATTGTGTAGACTCTAAAAAAGTAAATAGCAAATACTCCTAACTGCATTAAACTCTACCGGTGCTAAATAAATTTGGCCAATTTCAAAATCTCTTATCTGCTACGAATAATAATAACGCGTTTATTGCCAATTTACCCCGTCAAATCATTAAAAAAAAAATTCGGTGCCTAACAATAATGGTTGATTGTAATTATGAAACTAATATTTTAGATGAAAAAAACGAACTTAGGTTCAAATTAGGTACTTACCTGGTGTACACAACCTCAACTTATAAACACATGCAGTCAACTGGAGTTAGGAGAAATTGAGCGCAAAAAACCGACCAATATAATAGGAGTTATTGCTCCAGTCTAAAATTCAAGGTTAATATTTTTTTGTTGGATAGGAGAATTTTGCAGTGCGTGCGCGGTGGCGACATCGATTTAGAACCGTCAAAATCTCAATTTGAGAAAAAATGTTAGTTAGGAGATATTGCTGGCTATCCGTCGATATGCCTTTTAGGCATGCCGTATGTGTACTGTGAAAATAAATTTAAAAAAGCCAGCAAAATATATAAGAAACGACGTTTTTGGGTGAGAGACATTTTTAAAAATAGAAAATCACAAGGAGCCTTTAACAATTTAATGGCCGAAATGAAGCTTACAGACACCCAAAAATATTTCAATTATATACGGATGTCCCAAGAAAGGTTCGAAAATTTACTTCAGTTGGTTGGACCTGCAATTCAAAAGGTTCCACTTTTGTGTTACTTATTTTAATATGTTTGTATCTTAATTTTAAAAAATTTTCTTGTAAAGATGTATTGAATGTATGCGTCAGTTATCAATACGTAGGCCGATAACAAGTTTTTAAAAAACAATTTATTCACTAAATTACAATAGAGAAATACTTTCGCGTTCGCGTTACAAAGTTTCAAATAAGAAATATAATTACAATTCAACTGACTAACTATTCTAGGCGGGCAGCGATATTTATAATAAAGAAAAGCGAATTAAGCAGTTTATATGAATGGTCAGCAAATAGAGCTGACATTACTCCTCCCTTCTTGAGATACAACTTCATGCTAAGCGAGGAAGTTGGATTGGTCGGGCTTCTTCTTCGGGGTGGTTGTCCCCTCTTCGTTTCTTCAACTTCGGTGCTAGTTTCTTATAGCCAAGAACAGCACACCCAGCAAGGATCATAGCATATATCAGAATGGTTCCCAAACTTGGTAGTCTTCTGGTTTCAGTAAACGTCAAACGGTTTTCGACAATCTCATTAGCTAGTTGGTGGAGATTGTCCAACTTTATGGTTTTCAAGTGTGTACCTAAATTCAGGGAATGCATTAATTCAGGTACATTTGGAAGGTCAGGAAATAGTATAGGTTGTGCATCTGATTTCAGAGGCTTCTTTTCGTTGATAATCAGTCTCGAAGAGATAGTTATTTGGCAACTGGTTGGTATACGAACTAGAAAGGTTCCAATAACTTTTCTGATTTCTTCTTGTCCAAAGCACTTGAGTTTTATAGGTACTTTAGCCGGAAGTACAAATACCCATTGATTGGATTTGTCCAATCGATTGATTATTGGTTGTGTGATTTTGACTTCAGTTGGCTTGCAAGTAGAAGTGTCTTTTTCAGAGTTCAGTAGCTTTACTTCACATGGACTGCTGTCTTGAAGTTCGTGGAGTTCTTCTTTTTCGCATATGTGGAATTCAGGAAGGATTTCCTGGCATTCTTGGCCATAATGTGCGTAGTGCAATCCGTTTTTTAGAAGATATTTATTTTGTGGAAGGACTACCTTAAACTGACTCTGACTTTTGATTGGTATTGAATATAGGTGGAAATAATCGAAAGATTCAGGATACATTATAGGTATATGGACCAAATAAGTTATTTTATTGTTAAGAATAAATGATTCTAATTTGATGATTTTTTCATACAAAAGAATGTTCTCAACATTAACTGCTAAAGGCATTTGTTCATTACTTAGTTGTTTTTGTAATTTGATAAGTTCTGTACAGAGATCTTCAGTTCTCATTATGCTAGGATGCATAATTTTTAACTTGGAAAAAGTTAAAGAGTTTTCGACATCTTGTAATATTGAATCTATTATTTCATAGACATTAATAATTTGATTAATTATGTCCTTAATATAAAGAGAATTTTCTCTATAAGCAGATTTCTCTACTATGTGTGCGATTTGATTGATTTTTGATTCTAAGAGTTTCTCATTATAATTTATTTGTTTTATCGTCGTATTGAATTTTTCAATAACAGTTAAAGAAAGTGAATTTTGTTTCAAAATATTTGCTTGCAAATTCTTTTGATTTCCTTGCAATTCCCTTATAAGATTTTCATAACGTTCGCCATCGTCAGCGTCGAGGTTTCCGGTTACGGATTTGAAAATTGACCCTAGGCCGTTAATCAAGCCTCTTTTTGTTCTTTGTGGCTGGGGAATTATTTCTTTAATTTTGTTATCTACTCTAATTTGTATTAGTTGAATTAATTTGATATAATTACTAATATCTTCAGAATACTCTTTGTGTCCATTAAGCATGTTAGTGATATTATTGGATTTAGAGTGTAGTTTGTTAATTTCGATAAGTATGGGATTTAGGTCATAGTAGTGTATCAATGTGTAGGTGTAGTCTCTAATTTTTGCATTTCCAAGTTTCACTGGGATAATTCCAGGATTATCGTCCAATTTTCTTATGGAGATTTGCTCTTGGTTTCCTAATGCGTGGGTTATAAAGCTGAAATAAAGATTAGTAAGCGTAAGCGTGAGGTTATCATATTCATATTTATTAGTACCAATATTATTATACTTATTACCTATTTATTAAAATTAACTTAAGTATCGAAACTATATTTGTTTCTTAGAGGACGTTTAATATTGTCCATATGCACTTTGCCTAGAGTGTCCGTTGTTATTGTTTTCCGTGTGGGGTCAACGGTCTCTATTTGTGTGGCTGGTCGAAATTTGTCTCCTAATTTTTGGCGTGTATGTTTCTTTACATATATTTTCTGTTCTGGTCTAAATAATGTTGGCTTATCACGATTTTCATTGATTTTGCCAATTATTTTATTTTTTGTATCCATAAGACGTTCATTTATGTTGGAATACAAGAGTTTTGTTTTATTTTTGTGCTCGTTGACGTAATCTGTAATTAGGAGTTGATCTAACTTAAGATCGAATGGGTCATTGGGACTTATGTGTCCTGTGATTATGTCAATGGGCTTGTGTTTGGTTACAGAGTGGATCGTATGATTGTATGCTAAGATTGCATATTTAATTTTTTGGGTAATTGGCGTTTTTAGGAATCCTTGATTGTTGAAAATTCTGATGTGTTCAGATAAGGTTGAGTGGAGCCTCTCTATTACGCCATTAGATTGGGGATGTTCAGGAGAACAAAAATGTATTTTTACTTTGTGAAGTTGGAGTAGTTCAGTAAGAACAGTATTCTTGAACTCAGTTCCATTGTCTGTGATTATCTTTGATGGAATGCCATGATGTGAAAAGAAGGATATGAGATTATCACATATTTCGGTAGCGGATAAAGATGTAAGGGCATAAGCTTGGGCATATTTAGAAAAACTGTCTATTATAGTAAGAAATTTAACCTTATCGAGAGTATATGTATCCAGGTGGATGATGTCAAATGGTTTTGTTGCAGAAGGCGTGATGTTCATTTCCATATTTATTGGGTGACGTTCATATTTGCTACGTTGGCAAATTTCACATTCATTGATAAATGATTGAATGGATTCTTTCAGGTTGGGCCAATAATATTTTTCCTTAATTCGTCGCTCGGTTTCTTCGATTCCTCGGTGATTTGTCTTGCTCTCATGGTAATTTTGAATTACCTCTGCTATTTCTGTTTTGTTGACGACATCAATTAATTTTATCAAGCATCTTTTAAATTTAATTGAAGGCCATTTAAAGTTTTTTCTTATTATTTCGCAGAAAGGTTCGTAAGTATCTGGATTTTCGAAATAAATGGAATATAACTTTTCGGGTACTACATTTTCTTTCACAAATTGCATGACGTCATTTTCAAAATTATTTTCCGATAATTGGACTAGAAATCTTCTTTTCTTCTCGAATAATATCAAGCGTTTTGTTTTTGCAGGTGAATGCAAAACGCTCGTAATAATCACTTGATTAGCTCCGTAATTAACTGCTGATTCTATAATAGGGACTCCTACTATAGGATCTTGTTCGTTATTTGTATGTATGGTTTCATTGTCGTCTTCATTTGCTGGTGGGTCAAGGTCGGGTTGTGCCATCGTTGAAATTAGGTCTAAGTTATCTTCGTTTGCATTTATATTTCCGTTGTTCGTGTTCGACGATGAGGTGCCTTCTTGTTCAAGTTGCTTATTAAATTCCTCGATGTATGAGACTAAACTCGAGATGTTGGCGGCGTCTTTTGTGTGTAACTCAATGCGACTTAGCGCGTCAGCATTTGTGTTAAGTTTTCCTTTCTTATATGTTATTTGGTAGTCGAATTCTTGTAATTTTATTCGCCATCGTACTAATTTGGAAGTGGGATCTTTATAGTTAAACAGCCACTGTAAGGGTTTATGGTCTGTTATGATGTTAAACTTTCGTCCATACAGGTATGGCCTAAAATATTTTGTCGCCCACACTAGGCACAAACATTCTTTCTCAATGGTAGAGTAGTTTTGTTCCGAGTCGTTCAATGTACGGGATGCGTATGCTATTGGCAGGTCCTGACCAATGGGCCCTTGCGACAATACTGCGCCTAGCGCTACGTTGCTAGCGTCACAGGTCAAATTAAAGGTTTTAGAAAAGTCCGGGTATTGTAGTATCGGTTCATTTGTCAATAGTTTTTTACATTTTTCGAAACAGTCAATGAACTCTGGGTTATGTTCAATCTTGGCTCCCTTTTTCAAACATTTGGTTAGTGGTTTTGTTAATTTTGCAAAATTGTTTATGAAGCGTCGATAATAACCTAATAGTCCAAGAAATCCTTTTATTTGCTTCGTTGTTTTTGGTATGGGATATTTTTTG